TATTAATTTTAATTTTTAGTCCCTCAACCTAAGCACTGGCAGTGTGAAAAAGGAATGGAGAAGGAACTGATAAAGACTAGGGAGCTATGACTCTCAGCCATCCAGCATCCAGACATTAGAGGAGTTGGTTCTTCCCATCTCCAAGGCAGCTGATCCTAGTGGCCAGAAAAAGCCTTAGGTCAGGAGGAACTGTCAAGTCCTGCAGGACAATAGCTCCTAGTCATAAAGCCTTGCACAACTCCAGGTTGATCATTCCACAGATTCACCTGCACAAACAATATATCCAAGTGTGAAAAACAACCCTCCCTGCTTCCAGTCGAAGCACACACACACACACACACACACACACACACACACACACACACACACACTAGCGAGCACAAACACGCACACATGCGTGTATATATGTATGTATATATCTCCCAGCCCCATAAGTGCACTCACTCAGCCTTCATCCGGGACAGGTTGGGGTCCCTCACTGTTCCAATAAAATGGTCTCAGCCTGTTGACACCGAATCTGGCTGTTTCTCTGCCTCATTTTCTTTTACGTGTAAAGTCACAGGTGCTCTGCTGAAACCCTTCATTGGGTGCAGCGAGGTTTTAGGGCGAGAGCGGGACAGTGACCTAATGGTCGCTGTCCATGCAGATTCCATTCCCCAAATTCGCATATATGAGCCCCACTTATTTTTAAGGTTCCCCAGGACCCTCAGCCGACACTGCCCAGAATGCACAGACTTGGGCTGTCAGCAGCTGCCCAGAGGCGCTTCGGCACCAAGAGGAGAGGACCACTGCTCTGCCTGCAGGCCCCGCTGCACCCATGCCAGGTCACAAGCACCATTTCCAACCTCCGGGTGTCCCGGTGTCCGCCTGCCATACCTGTAGTCAGCGAAGGACTGCTCTGGATGGACTTCCAAAGAACACACACTTGCCTAATGTCCAGGGAAAGAAAGAAATAGAACTGGTAGCAGCAAATTCCCTCCCCTGGGGAGCAAACTTCTGGTTGGGCAGTCCATGCATTCAATTAAAACTGAGATAGGTCAGAGAATCTCAGCCCACCTCCTGGAGCCCAGGGGACAGGAGAAGCAACTTTTGCTAGGCAAGGTAAACATCAAGTCATAGACTCTAGGCCTCTCCAGATCCCAGGATCCTGCTGTCACCCATGCCTGAGCCCCATGGTGGGCTAGTGCTGGGTGCTGAAGAAAGCTCGAGGGTGTGAAGGCAATTGTAGACCTTGGGGTTGGGTGGAAAACTCTTTCAGAACTATAATCAGAGGCTGTATCTGCCTTTCTGCTCTGTGGCTGTTGTGGTCTCCCTCAAAGACCAAGTCCCTTCCAGGAAGAGCACAGGGCTAGATAGGTATCTTAGTGGTAAAACCTTTGCTGAGCATATTCTAAGGCAGGCCCAGCCCTCCACCCCACCACTCCTGCATTCAAAACAAGACAAGGGTAAAACTAAAAACAAAATAAACAAATACTTGTTTTTAATTACGTTCAGTGTGCAGGGCAGAGGGGGGTGTGGGTATGATCATGTGAGCACAGTGCCCCCAGAGGCTATTGTCTGTCTTCCATGCTGTTGTACAAAATGGTGCTCTTGATTGTAGTGAAACCAAATGTTAGGGTTACGATGAATGTTAAGATGTTGGTTGAGGAGCTGGGAAGACAGCGGAGTGACTAAGAGCACCTGCTGCTCTTGAGCAGGTCCAGACTTCTGTTCCCAGCTCCCACCCCAGCAGCTCACAGCTAACTCTCTCTGCTGCAGTGGTTCTCAGCCTTCCTAATGCTGTGACCCCCTAACACAGTTTATCATGTTGTGGTGACTCCAAGCATAAAATGATTTTTCTACTTCATAACGGTAATCTTGGTGTTATGAATCATAATGTAAATATTTTTGGAGATAGAGGTCTGTCAAACCCACAGAATGAGAATCACTGCTCTAAGGCATCTACTACCCTCTTCTGGCCTCTGAGGGTACCTCCACACACATGTCCATACTCACACATATACATAAATACATGTAAAAGGATAAAAAATTCATTACACCTATACATAATATGTAAAAATAAAAAATTTAAATGTTATATCGAAAATGGTGAGGTTGGGGACACTGGAAAAATAACTTGGGAGGCTTGCTTCTGGATATGAGGTTGCCAAGCTAACCTCACTAAGAAATCTTAGTGAGGCATTTTCTAAGCTGATTGTGGCAGTCTCTGACTGGCATGTTTGGAGCTCACCCCACCTGGGAGGTACACACAGGCCCTGTTGTTCTTCTACAGGTTCTTGCACTATTCTAATTTTTTTTTAAAGATTTTATTTTATTCTGCTTCCATGTATATCTGCACACCAGAAAAGGGCACCAGATCTCATCATGGATGGTTGTGAGCCACCATGTGGTTGCTGGGAATTGAACTCAGGACCTCTGGAAGAGCAGTCGGTGCTCCTAACCACTGAGCCATCTCTCCAGCCCCCAGCCCTATTCTAATTTTTATGTTGACAAGAGCTAGTCATCTGAGAGGAGGGAACCAAAATTGAGAAAATACCTCCATAAAAGATGGGCTGTAAGGCATTTTCTAAGTGATTGATGGGGGAGGGCCCAGCCCATGGTGGGTGTGGCCATCCCTGGGCTGATGGTCCTGGGTTCTCTAAGAAAGCAGGCTGAGCAAGCCATGGGGAGCAAGCCAGTAAGCAGCACCCCTCCATGGCCTCTGCGACAGCTCCTGTCTCCAGGACCCTGTCCCATTTGAGTTCCTGTGCTGACTTCTTTTGATGATGAGCAGTGATGTGGAAGTGTAAGCTGAGGTAATTCTTTCTTCCCCAAGTTATTTGGCTTACGGTGTTTCACCACAGCCGTACTCACCCACTAAGTCATGCACCTAATGCATCTAACTGCAACCGACTAAATAGTGGGAATGGACGGCTTTGAAAAGCTTCTACCTTTCCAGGAAGGAGAACACCCAGACAAACCAATAGGCAAGGAGGTAACCAAGTCAAACTGCAGCAGTATCCTTACAGTTGAATGCCTATTTGTGGCTGATAAAGTTGAAGGTGTACTTAGGTATTTCCACTACCAGAAACTAATAAAATGTGTGTTATAGGGTAGAACAAAAGGCTACTATATTCACAATAGACTAGACAATAATATAGGGGGGAAATGTTTGCTTAAAATGAAGTAACGGGCACTCGGGAGACAGAAGCAGGCGGATCTCTGTGAGTTCGAGGCCAGCCTGGTCTCCTGAGAGAGTGCCAGGATAGGCTCCAAAGCTACACAGAGAAACCCTGTCTCAAAAAAA